ATCCCACTGCCTTCTCTGATGTAAAAATACAACCCAAAAGACCTGGCTCCAAGACCCCCATTCTAACCACTAGTTTCCATTCCCCTTAAAGAGCTAGGAATAGAATCCAGGAATCCTGATATCTACTCCCCTCTCTAGTTCTAAGCACTAATCCCCTCCCACATTTCAGGAGTCCTGGCTCCCAGCCCTTGCCAGCTTTCCCAGCTGTAACCACTAAACAAACCCCACTCTCTAGTTGTCAGGAATTTATGTTCAGTGCTTGGACTGGATGCATCTGTTCCCAGAACCCTATCCTGTCTCTATGATTGGTGTTTCTGCCATGCTATGAGGATGCCCTTCCTCAGCCCTTCACTTCTGTCTTAGAAGGATATGTATGTACAGTGCACCAAGCCTGACAGCTCTCACCTCCTTGACCTGATCTCAGCACTGTGCATCTGTGCCAGGCACCAGGTGTATCTGTTTTCAGGTCCATGTTCCTGGCTCTGCACAGAGTATCTGTACCAAGAAGCACTGTTTGTGCACGTGTTGCAGTGTTTCTGTGCCAGGCACCAAGCATTTGAATTCTCAGTTCCCCATCCTTTCTCAGTGTTAACTTTTCCATGCAGCAGTAATTCAAGTTCTCTGCCCTATTGCCCTCTCAACATTGTGTTGATGCACTACATTTAGCCTGCCCAGTCTCTGGGCACCCACACCTGTGTTAGTACTAGATGCTTGCACAAGGTACAAACCATACACATGCTTTGTCCCCTCATGCCTCTTAGTGCTTTTTGTTTGTACCATGTAATAAGAATGTGCCTAGCTTACCAACCTGATGCAGCAGTGTGGAGCTTTGTCACGTACTAAGCATGTTTGTTCTTAACTTTGTCCCATCTCAGGTCTATTTGTGCCATGTATCAAACACCCACATCCACTGGTGACACATAGGGGGTGCACGCAGGTGCATGTGCATCCCCTGAGATTGGCCCTGCACCTCCTGAGAAGCACTGGCAGCATTTCTGGGTTGCTGCCAGCAATTCTGCCGGCAGCAGTGATCAGCCATTCCCCCCTCCCCGGTTGGTGATTGGCTGCTGGGACCCTCCCCCCCACCCCCCTGGTCGGCGATCGGGCCGCTGGTACCTCCCCAGTATTAGGAGGCACGACTTGCCCATGTCTGCACCTGTCTCTACGCTCTCTCTGTGCCGTGTATCAAGTTCATGCTTCCTTAGCTCTCCACCCAATCTCAACACGTTTTCTGTATCACATGATGAGCATTTCTGTTCTTTACTCCCACCTCCCTCTCAGATTGCGTACCTCTGCTGTTCCCTGAGCATGCCCATTATCAGCTCTCCACCCAGGTCTCTGTGTTGTGTGCCCATTAATGCATTGAGCATGACTGTTCTCAGATCCTTATGTTAGCCTCAGTGCCAACTGCCTGTGCCAGGTTCAAGAGTACCCATTCTCAGATTCCCAGTTCACTTTGTGCTTGTGCTATGCCTCTTCTCAGTTCTCTACTCCTGCCTAAAGCAGTTAGATTTGTTCCAGGCACAAAGTCATGGCTGTTTGTAACAGAAAACATTTGTAGGTATGGAGAAAAATCTTGAAGACCTTCTCACACAGTATGCCCTGCTGAGCGGGGAGCCATGCTTTCTGGGTGTGCATGGAGGTTAAGCCCCCTGAACAAATGGTCTCTGCTCCCACCAGAGAATAGTTTTTCCCTTACTCAGTCCTAATGGTGACACCAAGGATTTTTTTTCCTTGTGAGGGGCAAAATTGGATCAAATAAGAATTTCTTTTTAATCCTGGAATTAACAAAACCTTGTCGAGCTTTGCAGGGCACCCAGAATAGGTTCTGGAAGGGGGAGGGTGCTGAAACTTTGACAAAGGTTTCCTTCATTCAGAATATCAATCAGGCATTGGAGTTAAATGATTGTTACTAACAAACAAGTCCAGAGTTACCAGTGTCTGACAAGTATTTGAGTACAGCTACTAGTACCTGCTTCCCCCATATGGTCTCTTCACTTTTTGCTTGCTGTTTGCCATGGGCTGAATCTGAATATCTAAGGCCAAACTCAGTTAATTTTACCTGCCTCCTTTCTCAGTGTCTTACTTCCTTTCCTTACACAGAAGCAAAATGGGCACAGATTCAGGGGTCCTCCTGCAGCCCTTAGGTGGCTGCTACATATACAGCCAGTCGCATGCCCTGGCCACAAAGCTGGCAGTGTCTGTCCAGGGCCTCTACATGGGTGCAGAGCTACTGAGAAGCTTGAGGTCTGAGAAACTCCCCTGAGACCCAGAATTCGGGACTGAGTGAACCAGTGGGTCTCCATCCAGCCTCTGCAGGCTCCCCCAGCACAAGTCAATGGGTTGGGGTAGCCTTCCCCTTAGCAATAGGGGTGATGCCCCAGAGGTCTTGGTTGGGCCAAACCCATCTGTCTATAAGAAGCACAGCAGGGGGTTGTTTGGCAAGTCCCAGCAGATGTGTCCACTAAAATGATCAGGCCACAGGGTAGTAGGTTTAGTTTATTAGTTGGTAAAGTCTTCTCTTACAGGTCTGTGCAGCACAAGCTCCTGGGTGGGGGTACAGTGCCCTACACAGTCCCACTAGACTAAATAGCTTCTCTTCCATTGCAGCTGTGGGGCATATTTCTCCTACATTTGTTTCCCAATATAATCTAATAGAAAGGCAACATTTAAAATGTGAGCATGCATGCAAATCACAAGCAATTTTCACAGAAAATAAAGACATGACAGAGCTGGAGGAAGAAGAGGCTATGATGAGACAGGGCTCAGAGCCCAGCAGGTTCAGAGGAAGCGCTCAGCAACTGATTAAACACAGAAGAAGCACAGCAGTCTCTACTGAGGGTAGAAACTCAGAGCAGATCTGCAGCTGAGTGCCATACCTCGAGTTACTCAATAGATGGTCCTGAACTTTAAGAGGGGACTTCTGGACAGGAAACCAGTGACACTGAATGGGACTGACCCTGTGGGCAGAAGAAATTTAAAATAGCAGCCTGCAGCATCCTTTCAGCAGGTGCAGCCATTAGCAGAGACACCATGGTACTACTGGCTCAGGTTGCAGAACTGACCTGCTCTCCTGCCCAAGCATGGCAGGGACCCTGGTGGGGCCTGCTCCATAGTAGCTCCATTGGGACAAAACAAATCCATGCTGCTGAGGCACTGACTATGATTTGGGCCACTTCTTTGCTTTTTGGCTCCTCTTCTGGTTCAAAAAGCTGGCAAGCTACAGACTCCCCAGTTGAAGGGTCCTCAGGAATGGCTTGCTGTTGCCCATCTTCTCAGTTGGCATACTGGTCCCTCAGGGCTATGATCACTGTGTGGTCTTGAGACCAGATGCTGTTCTAAAGTATGCTTGAACAAGGGCACAGACTTGGGCCAGCCCAGAACCGGTCACATGACCAGGAGCTTCCAACTACCCTCCACCAAGGCTCTTGTCTTGGCTTCTATTCTATCTGCCCTTGGCCTGTTTGCACTTATTCCCGGAATGGCTCTCTACAGTGCCTCTATAGGTGCCTCCCAGCCTAGTACCTGCTGGAAGGAGATGCTCAGACAGCAGTGGGGGTTCAGTACTATGCCATGTGCCAACATTGCTAACTCAGAGCAGGCACACACCAGCTTGCCTGTAGCTCAAGTACAGGAAAGTGAGCCAGAGAGTTAGTAGGGGTGATGCTGATATCATTGAACACTGAAAGCATCACTCAGCCACTCCGGGGCTTGCTCCCTTCTGCCAGGCTAAGCTGTGAATGTAGGCTTCATTAACCAGGTCTTGACTGTCATCCATCCTGCAATTTGCATCCCAGGATCTCCAGGGGCCTACATGCTTCTCATGGCCAGGACACACAGTGTAACCATACTGATCACAGCAATCCAGCCAAAAGCTGCCCCACCCAGGGACTGGCCCACATAGAGCTTTGCCTCTGCAGGGCTGTGCTGGCCCTGTACTGCTGATGACTCTCACTCCCCAAACTGAGCCTGAATTTTCCCAGGCTACGAAGGGCAGATCCTCCTCACCCTTTCCATAATTCCCCAGCTCTGAAACCAGCATCACAATTTTTTTCATAAAAGTCTGCAGCCACACACAGTGATGCCTGCACACACATAGAAAGATGGGCTCTGTGCTGGGGCACACCTGTGCACAAATACCTGGGAACAGCCTCCCAGAGGTGTGTGCATAAAAAGATGCACTCCTGTCCCATGTGATCACTTGATGCAGCAAGACGTACATAGAGGGGGTGTGTGCACGTGCATGTGAAAGATCTCATCTAATGTCTCCCCTTGTCCTTCCACACAGGCATACATGTGCAGTCATACTAGATGCACATACGTGCAGATTTCCACACCAGTGCTTCTAGGCAAGTGCTTACTGGCACATACAGTAATGTGGATGCTTCTGTTTGTGCACGTGCTGCATGCACACTTTTCCACACTTTCTTCAAGCGTGAGACCTTATATCTAGAGATGAATGTTCATGCAGACATATACACTCTCACACTGGAAACACGTGTGCTCGTTGATCTGCTCTCTGCCATGCATACTTGAAGGCTGACTCAGGCGCACACATGTATGAATGGAAAGCTATAGAAGGAAAACTCTTGAGCTGAAGTGCAGTTAGTTTGACACCCCAGGAGGCCAAAGCTTAGGTGAGCTCCATGTGATCACTAGGGTGTTAAATAGGAATTAGCAACTTTTAAATGTCTGAACATAGAAGCTACTGTAAGTTCTTAACTGGGTTCATTCAGCCAGCTGAGTAATGTCACTCACCTTGATCTACAGGCCATGCCTGGGGCCTGTTCACTGCACATGGGACTTTTACACACGCGCGCGTACACACACACACACACACACACACACACACACACACACACACACACACACACACACACACACACACACACACACACACACACACACACGTGCGCGCGCGTCTGAAGCACATACATTGCCACCAGTCAGAGACACCTCCCTCACCAGTGGTGTCTCCATGGCACACCTGCAGGATGCTCTCAGGCACTGATTTCAACAGCATTGGCCTCCTCCTGCTCCCGGATTATATGAACCCCAGCAGTCCGCACCATGCGCGTGGCACTCCGGGAATGCACAGGGGAGCCTGGAGACCGTGGTGGGGATTTGTGTGTTCTGGAGGAAGCTGGTGATCTGGCTGGGGAGCGGTGGTATCTACGAGCTGATCGTGCAGGAGGTCTGGGGGATCTGCCAGGAGGTGTTGGGGAGCTGGAGTAGCTGGGCGGCCCCAGCTCGGCTGTGCCTTGTGATTCTGGAGGGGAATCCTCATCCAGCTCAGGGGAATCCTGCAGAGACAAGAGCAAGGAGGTTATTGCAGGCAAGCCAGACTAGGACTGCAGCACCATTGCCTTTGGCACTGGCTTCAAACAACTGCTGGAAAGGGTTCTTGCCAGGTGCTCTGCCTCAGCCAGAGCATCAAGCACCACCCAGGGCTTCTCTCCAATGTGTCTAAATAAGCCAAGAGGTCAAGCTGTGGACATAGTCTGCATTCACAGTATTCATTGCTATTGATGACCTCAGCCATTGCTTGCAGACATCTCCCTTCCCCTGTCAGGGAGCAAAGGCTGAGTGTTACAGAAACCATATCTAAACACCAGCAATTGTGCTTACTGGAATACAGGACCCCAGGAGCTCAGAGACACCTCCCAGCAGGTGTCAGCTCTAAATTCAGGTCAAGATGGTCTTTTTCAATCTCACGAACTGTAGTCTTCTCTCCCCGGCTCCCCACAAAGTACCAGATTGCAGATTGGGGTTAGGTTACATGCTGCCCTCCTGTAATGTTGCTCTGCGATGCTCTACAATGCCCTACTCCCAGCACATCTACCAGCAGGTGTCACTCATGAGTCACAGTGTGCATGGCACTTTGGGCTGGCAGTGTTGAACTCCTTCCCCCTGCAGTCTTTTTAGTAACTGCAAGTCATTCTCTGGGTTATGGGCATGAGCATGAGGGCCACATTATCAGGGCCTATATATGCAAGTTTTCTATCCCTCCCTTCTAACATCCTGTAAAAAGTCTATTCTGTTTGCAATGCCTCAGGCCAGGACAGAGGGGTGGAAGAGAGCCTGGGCTAAGCCATTTGAGCTGTTCTGAAGCTGAAGGAATTTGAAAACTTGGTGGATTTTCAGTTTTTAACCATCTTGCACTGTTCAATGTCTCCCCAGTGTGTGTCTGGGCTGGAGGCTGGGAATGCCCTGGTTGTCTGACAGTTAGTTTTAGAACCTGCTTGGCTAGGTGTCTCTGAGCAGAGCAGGATAGCCTGTGACCATGGGCAGATCTGGAGGTGGATCCACCTGTAACTATGGGTAGATCTTTGGCAATGTACTTCATCTGCAGTGAACTCTCTCTCAGCTCACCAGCTTTTCAGCATGGCTGCCAGACCCTGTGTTGGCATGGCTCTGAAATCCAAGAAGTTAGCACCACTACCGCTCACCCCCATGTTCGCTTGCCCACAGCCAAATTTGGCAGCGTGTGAAAAGGAGAGGGTGGGTGGTGGCAACATTCATTCCCTAGATTGCAGAGCCTTACCAACAGGCTCTGGCAGCAGTGATGATGAGGCAGTGAGCTCAGACAGCTTGCTGAGCATGCATCATGCTACCAAAGATGAGGGGTGCTGCTGCATTCCTTGCGCCTCCCTGTGAATTTCTCATTTGCCTGTGCAATTGTGGTGCTCCTATGTTCACTGAGCACTGAAAGAGCTCACAGTCCCAGGAGTATGAAGTAAAAGAGCCTGGTGGCCAGTGTCCAAGAAGCCCAATTTTTAACCCAAGGTGGAAGCACTAACGTTGTATGCATAATATGTTGTGCAACGATACCATAGAAACAGAGAGAGGGCTTCTGGAGCTGCATACAAGTGAAAGAAAGGCAGAAAAGTGTTTGCACTGTACATCGCATCTCATGAGATTCAATAAAGTTCAATAAGGACAAGTGCAAAATCCTGCACTTAGGACAGAACAATCCCATGCATGGGTACAGGTTGGGACTGACTACAGATAGCAGCTCTGCAGAAAAGGAGCTGGAGGTTACAGTGAACAATAAGCTGAATATGAGCCAACAGTATGCCTTTGTTGCCAAGAAGGTTAACAGCATACTGGGCTGCATTGGTAGGAGTGCTACCAGCAGATCAAGGGAAGTGATTATTTCCCTCTATTTAGCACTGGTGCGGCCACATGTGCAATACTGTGTCCAGTTTTGGCCCCCTCACTACAGAAAGGATATGGAGAAATTGGAGGGAGTCCAACAGATGGTAACAAAAATGGTTCAGGGGCTGGGGCACATGACTTCTGAGGAGAAGCTAGGGGAACCTGGGCTTATTTAGCCTAGAGAAGACTGAGAGGGGATTTAATAGCAGCCTTTAACTACCTGAAGGGGGGTTCCAGAGAAGATGGAGCTAGACTGTTGTCAGTGGCAGCAGATGACAGAACAAGGAGCAATGGTCTCAACTTGCAGCAAGGAAAGTTTAGGTTACATATTAGGAAAAACTTGCTTGCTAGGAGTGTAGTAAAGCACTGGAACAAGCTACTCAGAGAGGTGGTAGAATCCCCATCCATGGATGTTTTTAAGACCCGGCTAGACAAAGGGGATCATCTAATTGGGGACGGTCCTGCTTTGAGTAGGGGGTTGGACTAGATGACCTCCTGAGGTCCATTCCAACCCTAATTTTCTATGATTCTATGGTGTGTGTCAGCATTTAAGTCCTGAACAGAGCGTTTAAATATTTGGGGTGAAATGTTCTTCTCTGACCAACTAAATAACACACATACACACACAGAAGGGTTTCTTTCATCACAGTGATTTATAGAACAGCCTTCTAATAGGAGGAATAGATGCAAGATACCAAGCTAGTTTGAAGACAAAATTTATGAGCAGAGTGACATGACAGCGTTGCTTGTGATAGCAGGGGCTGGACTCAGTGACCCAGGAGGTCCCTTCTACTCCGAGGCTCCTATGTAAGTCACAGGACCCATGAGTCTCATTAGTACACGGACCTGGAGCATATTGACAAAACAGCTTCCCTGCCAGGGCCAAATGTAGCTCAGCAGCTTGCAGTGCAGAACAGCAAAGGACACTCCTTAGGGCTTGCCACCTGTTAAGCTGAGAGGCTCCAGATTTTGCTCTAAGTTTCTGGTTCAAATACATTCAAAATCCCAGGATGAAGCTGTCCAATGTTTCAGCTTCCTCTGGCCTCATGGGAAACCTCAATCCTGGGCCTATGTGCCAAGCAAAAAGCTGACTGAAGCATGCATCACAAAGCCCATTTTTTCCAAACAGTTCAGAGGCATCTCCAAGCAGGTCTGCAAATGAAGTCTGTTGGGGCCAGATCCTGTTCCAGCTAGTGGGCATCCAAATGGACTTATGCACCTAAGTGATATGCCGTCCTATCTTGGTAAAGTCCCTGAAAGTCTATTAACACATTTACTTTAGTAATATGCTATCATGGGGTTTTTCTAGAAGTGCAATTAATGTGCATGATTGGAGGAATCTCTTTGGAGATTACTGCTCAGGAGTTTATGGCTCCCAGGCACTACGTCTTCATATGTACCTGGGACTGCAGCAAACTAAGCCAGGTCAGAGCAGCAGTGGCTGGCAAAGGACCCAGGGGTCAGCGTACCAGCCCGGGTCTACTCCCCCCTGACTCAACATGATGTGGAGGGACTGGATGGGGCACAAGGGTGCTTCAGTGTGAGACTAGCTAGCTGGCAGCCCCACACTAAAACCCCCTCATGCCCCAACCAGCCAAGGCAGCATCTAGAACGTGTGCTGCTGCAGAGTAAAAAAATCTCTGCAGCATGATAGCACTTGTATTTACAAGTACTAGCCTACTGCAAAGTAAATTGGTTTACTCCAGACTAATAGGGGCACACATGTCGATGCATGCGAGTAGCTAATTAGTCTACTGCACAGTAAACGTCTTGTGTAGCTGTGCCCATAGAGTCTCAGGCAGAGACACTCGAGAGGATTCTGTGGCTCCCCTGAAGGCAGGTGGCAGAGAGGGGGGTCCCACTGAGGAGAGGGAAAGTGGAAGTCCCCAGTGGAGGGAGACAGCTGTGACTGAGGGGAGGTTTACCCCAGAGAATTTTTACAGGAATTTTTATGGGGGCTCAATGGTAGTCTGAACATAGGGTAAGGATTTTGTCAGTTTTGTTTTACCACACTGTTGTCCAAGCATTTGATAATATTTTTTCTTTTTCATACCATTTGTTCTTCCTTGTAATAAACCCTTTTGTTTTTCGGTTTCTTTACCAAAGTGCCTGTGCTAAATCATGCAGGGGTGTAGGTTGTAGCCGTGTTGGTCTAAGGACATAGGCAGACAAGGTTCCTTGGGTGAATGTGATATCTTTTATTAGACCAACCCCAAAATAGTTGGAGAATAGTTATTAAGCAAGCTTTCGAGTTCAAAAACCTTTCGTCAGGCTAAGGAAGTGTCAGCAGTTGGTGTGTGCTCTTCCTAGATGGAATGAAAAGTAAAGAAGCCAGGTGCTGGGCTGGGCTGGGCTGGGGAGTCATGTGCTAAATCATGACATCTGAGCAAATTAATAATCTGGGTATATCCATTCAGCAGAGTGGAGGACCAAGACAACCAAGACAAACCTGCTCTGGATGCATCTCAGGGAGCACCCCAACACCTCAGGGTTTTGTCATACCATTGTCCTACCCTTAGGATTGAGTCACTAAAACAGGGGTGGGGAAAATACAGCCTGCAGGCCAGATCTAGGCCACCAAGCAATTTCATTTGGCCTGCAGGCACCCACCAATTAATTGTAACCTGCCCAGGCTGCGCACCTTGCCAGGGGAGCTGCAGCTGGGTGCGAGCATGGAGCTGGCAGGAGCGTGGAGCCTGGACCCAGGGGGGTGGTGGAAGCACGGAGCTTGGGTAGGCAGGGTGTGGGTATAAGGGAGGGCAGGGATGTGTGGGGACCCCCCCCACACTCTCCTTCCCATGGTGCACAGCCCCCACCATAGTGACTAAAAGCAGTAAGTAGAAGGTGAACCCATGCCTTTTTGCATTAGCTGGTTTTCAGGGATTTGAGCAGGGTGCAGTAGAATGGACTTAGTTGCTTAAGTCCATGTACTTGCCTAATAGATGGGACAGAATATGGCCCTTGGGACTGCATATGGTTTTAAGGCCCCATAACAGTAGCCACATCTGCGAAGCCAAGGAAGGTGTTTTCTCTTTGACTTTGCTGTGAATGAAGAATGAAGCTATTCCAGCCCCTCATGTCACAAAAGATCCCCTTCTGCCTTGTTAGGGGAAAGCTGCTTCGTCACTGGCTCACAGGTCCTAGGTTTTTCGCAGTACAACACTGGACACTTACCTTGTCCTTTAGGATGTAGAGAGCAACTGGGTTCTTGCGTTCATGTTCTCCAGTGCGGGGGATAATCTCAACTGCACAAAAACAGCAGAAAACATTTGTGACATGTTCCTACTGATGGGAAAAGTAATCTATACACACACCCAACATGTAGGTGCATGTGTATGGATGTGGGTGAGGGCATGTGCTGAAAACTGCTGGAATATTCCTGTACTCCTTGAGTTCCTGGAGCAATTTCCTACCCATCTTCCAGGTTCCTGCATCTCAGGCTTCCCAAGCTTAATTTTGGCAATTGTATAAATTGCCTGGAGGAGAGAGTGACATGTTAGGGGGTAGGCATGGGCAGCCTAGCACAAGATCATCTACAAAGAGAAGGCAAATATGTCCATATATATTGGACTGCACAAAAAAATAGCTTAGGAGAGGTTAGGGCTTGCAGCATCAGCTCCAGGGAGTAAATTTCAGTAAAGGTTGTGGGCAGTTGCCTAGTGTCAAACAAATGGTGAGGGTGGGGGTTGAGGGCCATTAGGCCTCACAAGAGCAGAGGCATTATACCAGGAGCCTGAGATCATGTTAATTCATTGCCGAGGCTGGGGGAGAACAGCACTAGGAGTGCCCAAAGAAGTACAGAAACCTCTCCACTCCTGAGCCTCATAGAAGAAATGGGCCCAGTAAGGGAAATGGGGCGTTTTATACTAATATATGGTCTGTAAAGCAATTTGGGAAGGTAAACATGATCCTAGGTTCTATGTGCTGGCAAACAGGTGTCCCCAGCTGGAGCAGGGACCCATCAAACATGTCTCATCACAACACTAGCTTTGGGTGGGCTCCTGTTCTTGAAAATGCAGCAAAGCAGATTTAGACTGGAGATCAGGAAAAACTTTTTCACTCTTAGAACAGTGAAGCAGTGGAATAGGCTACCTAGGGAAGCTGTGAAATCTCCATCACTGGAGGTATTCAAGAAGAGGTTGGATAAGCATTGGTCAGACACGATTTAGGAATAGAGATGCCTGGGATGGGGCTATGGAGAGGAACCACTGGAAGATTAGGACACCCCCACACACGCATTGCTCAGAGATTATGAGAAGAGCTCTGCAGCCCAGAACAGAAATTGGAGGAGTATGTTCAGCCACAGAAGAATGAAGCAGAGCTCCACAATTGACTTGGTTATGAAAAAAGATTAAAGAACAAGGACAAGTTTATGGGGGCAATAGGATGAAAAAAGGAGAGTTCTGGCTCTCCAGTTAAAGTGTATGATGCATGGGGTTGTGTATCTGGTCCCCAGGTTCCAGTGCAGAGTAGAGGATGTTTGGTGACCCCATGATTCCAGCCTTTGTTGGTCACCTTATGGGAATGGGAAGATTGTTTTCCCCTCCTATGCTATAGGTGTCAAGGTTTTTTGCTTTTATCAGAAGCGCTGTCTGTTGGCTGTAGCCAAGGCAGAAGATTTTGACTGGGATGTGCCAGTGGTACTTCTGGGACTTAAAAAACCCAGAGGTTCCTGGCTAGAGGGCCTTACTCCTCTGTTCAGGGTCAGACTGCTGTTCGGGATCAGGGAGGAATTGTACCCTGCAGTCAGATCAGCATGGATGGGAGTGGGGTTGGGGGGCTGGCAGGGTGGGGGATTGTCTTCCTCCGTAATGAGGGGCATGGTCCTCTTCTTTGGATCTCTGAAGTGTATTTTATAAAACTCCTATTTTTCCTTGAAATACTGGTGCTCTCATTCTCCTGCCTTAGCTTAGGATGTTTTGATGTTTTTGGTAGTTGTACAAGAGAGTTGTTTGTGCAGGTTTAAGACTAGATTAGACAAATATTGTCTAGAATAGCTTGGCTAGGGAGGATTCTGTCTTGAGCGGGTGGGAAGGCTAGATTGGGGTGGCCTAAATGCAGTTCAAGTCCCACAAGTAGCATGGGCAGCCTTTCCATGTGGCACAAATCAGAGGGAGCAGGCAGCATAAAAGCAACAGGGCAGGAAGCAGAAAGCAGAGCAGCAGATCAGGTATGGGAGAAAGTTCAGAGTGGCACTCAAAGAAGGTAAGGTAAGGGCAAATTTGTGACATGCTTGTCAAAAAGCTTGCCCCCACAGGACTAGATGACCAGTCCAGTCGAGCCCAGCTTTTCTATGATTCTATTCCTCATACAGGTTTTTGGAGTCACCTCTAACAGAACAGGGTCTCACAGAAGAGACTGGAAGGACGATGGTTCTTGCTTTGTGCACATAACGAGAAGCCTGGAATTGCTCACCCAGAATAATGCATAGGACATATGAGCTAGCTGCCAGGAAAGTTTGAGAAGAGTTTTTGCGAGAACTCGGTGCCACAGTGATTCATCCACAGCTTCAGCTATCAAATATCCCCACTGTGCCCAAAATGTAGAGCAGTGCTATGTTGCATGACAGCTCCAGACCAGGAGCTTACAATTAGCGGCAGAAAGAAAGCACAACTAAAAGAATGTGCATGGAAAACACAAAGTACACTGAGTATTCAAATGTGGCAGGAAACCCTGGCCTTGTTCTCCCCACCTGTCCATCTTATTTGATTGGTTTGGGTTGACTTCCTGAAAAAAGATATTGATTAAATCTGTTGCCCACTGACCTGTTTCTGTTACTTTGAACTGCATCCAGGGCCTCCTGGCAGGGAGGCTTTACAAACACATTGATGATCCTGGATTGTGATTTTATTTTATTATTATTCTTAAATTAATTTTCTTTTTCATACAAACCTTGAATGTCAACTAGTGTTCAGGGTGTGTTTGAGTCCCCCTTAGATATTCAGGGGCAAAATCTCTAATTTTACTACCCCAGAACCTGATCTTGCTGACAATAGGTGGTGGGTACTATGTATGTCCCTCATTTGTATAGGGGAGGGGTGGGCAAAATACAGTCCGCAGGCTGGATATAGCCCACCACGTGATTCTATCCAGTCTGCGGCAGGTCCTTCAGCTGCCAAGTGCAGAGGGTGCTACCTGGCATGGAGCACAGTCTGCCCTGGTCTCACGTATGCTTCTTGGGCATGCCAGGACATGTATTTTGCTGGGCGAGTGGCACTGCAGTGGGGCAGAGGTGGCACAGAAGCCAGATTCAGTTTCCTGGCAGCCCCCATGGTGGTGGCTCCTTCTGGCTGCCATTGTCAATGTCTTTGCCACTGCCACTGAACCCAGCCCCGCTGCTCAGGCACCCTGGCACATCTGTCCTGCATTCACTGCTGGGGGTGCCAGATGGAGTGGGTGGGTGGGTGGGTGGGCAGGTGGGGTCTCCATGGTGTGGCTCAGGACCCCTGACACAGAGCTGCAGTCTGCTCCCTGCACATCCCTGCAATGTGTGCCAGCCACTAACCATGGAACTGGCATTCATTGTGGGGAATGCAGCTCTGCCCTAAGACCAGGGCCCCAGGCCCCAGCCCTGTGTTGTCAGCACCCCGTGATCCCAGGCCTGGCCTTGCAAGTCCGTCCCGCTCCTGGATGCTGCTCCCTGCCTGCCCATGGCTCCATCCCATCTGTCTAGCTGAGCACATCCTGTCCGCAGTGGTCCCAGGCTGGCCTCCATGAAGACCTTGCCCACCTGCCCACTCTGTCCAGCATACCCAGCAGTGGGTGCAGGGCAGATGGGCCCAGGGTAGGATAGGATCAACCGACATCTCTCCATCCTCCTCCTCCTCCACTCTCCGCACTGGGTGGTGTAAACACCGATGATGGGGGGACCCAGGCTAAATCAGCACCTGCTCCCCCCACTCCCCTCCCCTGCCCCTCAACAACTCACCAAAGCTCTTTAAGTACTCCTTAAGGAGTCTTTAAAATAATCACCCACCCCTCATATAGGAGCAGTACTTAATGGCTGCAATTAGCAACAAAGACTACATAGGCCCCAGCCCTGCTCCACAGATACTTGATTCATGGAGCAATTATTTACCTTCATGCTTTAAGTGCTCTTCATTCTGATCCACGTGTTCAGAAGAGCTCTGCTGATCCAGTTTCCGTTTGTCCCTGTAAAATGTAGAAGGTGCCTGGTGAAGAACAAAGCAGGAGGCTTGTGTGGAAAAGTTTTTTTCAGAACAGCTTTTTTCACATTCTCCACATTGGGCCCCAGCATCTCTGGGAGAAGTTCTGCTCAGTATGCCAGCTGTTTGTGCCAGGCCTGTAGCACATCTGTTCTGAGGAAGCAATGAGCACTGAGATGCTGCTGTCTGGAAGACTGCCCCAGCTGTACACAAAGCAAAAGCCTCTGCTGGGGAGTGAATTCACTGGATGAGTGGAACAGAAGTCAGAGACCTGCAAAATGGAAGGAGGGTGATTGCAGCCTAAAGTTCGTGTACTTGGTGCTCTGGGCCTATCTCCTCTGCTGCAGTACCATTCAGCAAATTCCTAAAACAAAGCAATGGTTTTAAACTCCTCAAAGTTAGACAGCAAGGGAGCAGGGAGAAACTAATGGGGTTTAAGTATTAGATTACTGTACCAATGGCACAATATTTGTTTGGGATCAAAGAGAGCTCCTAGCTCCATATTGGGAGAAAGGAACGCTGGAAAGATTGGAGAATGGTTGTTACAGAGTATGTACTAGAAATGAGCTAGGCTAGGTCCATCTGAGGGTACACTGGCTGGGCTGCCAAGATCCTGTTTTGGAGCTTGGGTTCCCTAGTGGGACTGGCCAAAACAGGCTCAGAGTTGGGCTGTTTCATAAGGATGATCCTGTAGCATGCTCATGGATCCACCCCAGGTGCTGGCATGGGTTGGGCTAGGGACAAAAATTACACATAAACCGGTTTAAGTGATCAGAAACTGCTTTAAATCTGTAACAGAACAGATGTTCAGTGCACATAAACCAGTTTCAAAATGGCTAAAACCAGTTTGTGAAAAAACGGGTTGAATGTAGTATCAGACTTAACCAATTGAGATCAAACCAGTTTATGCAATGTCTGCCCCAGATCCCTTGCTGGTTTAAGTTAAATCAGAGGCCCCCAGCATCCCGGCATGCTCTCTGGGCTGGGCTCTCTGCTCCAACCCAGCAGGGATGGCCCCGCCCCTCTGCTCCCCAGCTGGAGCAGGGAT